ATAAAAATATTATTAACGTAAACTCAAATAATAATAATAATAATAATAAATTCTAATTTTAAGATGAAATATAATTTTAATTTTAATACTCTCGAGTTTTGTTTGGTATTACATACTAAACGATCCATCGTACATTGAAAATGACACTGGAGAAACAAAAAGAAATGGGACAAAACTTAACTTGGGGATTGAAAATTGAAATGATATTGTGAAATGAGAAGTGGGGTAGGGGATTTCTTGGGCGGAGGAGGAGGGCCAAGCAGCCGACAAATCCCATTTGAAAGGGTCACCCCGCTCTCACCACGTCATTTCTGGGTGGTGGGCCTGGTGGCTACCACCGCAATTGGTTGCTACACAAAATGATTTTTTAAAGTGGAAGTTACACAAAATCAGGGATTTAGTCCTTGTTTGACCTCTATTATTGTCAAATTTTAATGGTTGAAATAGTATTTTTTTGAAAAATATGGGATTGAAAAAGAATGAGAAGTTTTTAATTTGCGTGTAATATTAATTTATTGAAGATTGTATGTTTGAAAATAATAGAGAGTAAAAGAATTAGAGAGTAAAAGAATGAGAATGAGAATGGGACCAAACGGAAGCTTAAACATCACAATTCAAAAATCAGATACTAAGTTTTATTATTTGCAAATCAAGTATTACATATAATTAATCAACACAATTCAATTAAAAAGTCTAATCATTTCCCCTATTCCCGTCTCACTCTATTCTGCTCTCTAGTCTCTCTTCTCTCTCAACAAAAATCGCTCCGCTCGTAAAAGATTATCTCCAGCGCGGTAATTTTACCTTCGGAGTTGAACCACTTGCGTGGCTGCGTCACCACTGAAAGATTTCTTGGTGGGCGTCGGGGGCGATTTATATTTTCTCTCTCTATATACCTCCATTTCTCTTCATCGAACATCACTGCCGGAGATAGCGTAGGCATCATGGCTCGACGCCACCACTGCAGAGACGTCGCTCTGAAGCAGCTAGTGACGCTGTTGCTGCCTTGTCGACCGTAGTTGGTTTTGAATTCGACGATTGTGTAGTGAAGTGATAGTGCTGGGTTTGTACTGTTAGATGGTAGTGTGGTTGGATGTGGTAGTGGTGGTGGGTGTGTGCACTGTAGGTGCGATGGTGTTGGCAGCGTGGTGGCACTACTAGTGTATAGTGGTTGGATGCGTCGTGGTGGTGTGCATTGCCGGTGTGTGGTTGGATGCGGTAGTGGTGGTGGGTGTGTGCACTGTAGGTGCGATGGTGTTGGCAGCGTGGTGGCACTACTAGTGTATAGTGGTTGGATGCGTCGTGGTGGTGTGCATTGCCGGTGTGTGGTTGGATGCGATTTTTGGTAGGGGTATGTGCTGTAAGTGCGATGAGCCATGAGCCGTGCGATGTCGTGAATTTGTTTCTGTGATGGTTGTAGAGTAGTTTTGATTATGTGTTTTGTTCGTGGTAGTGGTGTCGGCTTTGGTGGTGATTGTGGTGCCAATTTTGGCCCACAACTGTGGTGGTGAGGTTGCAGTGGTGTGGTAGTGATTTGTGACCAAGATTTGTGCTGGATCGGAACCGATGGTGGGACTGTTTGGTGTATGTGACCAACTATTTGGACCAATTAATAATCTATGACCAATAATTTTGAAAATATGTGACCCATAGATAAATTGTGACTTATAATTTGAATGATCTGTTACCTACAAAATTTTCGATTTGTGACCATAAAATAATTAGTGACAATTAATTTGATGATATGTGACCAGTAAATAAATCTGTGACTTTTAATTATGAATTTGTGACTATTAATCTTATAATTGTTACTTTATTATATTTATTTAATAAATATTTTAAATTAATTAAATATATACCTAAATTTTGAATTTTCAAACTATTTATCTGATTTTTGAATTGGTGTAAGTAATATACCTGAATTATGAATTTTTCCGTTTTTGAGCTTGCTAAAACACTTGGCCTCCGTTTGATTTAGCCCCTGCCTGGCTACAATTTTGTGAAGATTTTAATCAACATTTTAAACGTCGAACACAATGGTGTATCCCATTTCTATAGATTTTACTGATTGCACAGACCATCAAATACCAAAAATGCTTGTTTGCAGAATAAGAAATTGAATGTTAATTTAGGCACATTGGTCATTTTAATTATTGCAGTCAGATTCACTATATAACGGAAAACAATTTAATAAAAGTTAATGGAATGTTTGAATGAAAATTTGTGAATTACATAAAATGTGTAGTTAAAATTAATCGTTAATTTTGACTTAAATATTAATTAACCTATATACCAAAACCAAATAGGTGGCTAAAGTTCATCTTAGAAAGTGAAAAAATATATATATATATATATATATTTGAAAAAACATCTTTTAATATTTATTTATTTTTACAATTTACTTAAAAAAAAAAAACCTCTTACATTAATGTCAAAATGAATAATTTACTTATTTCTTTTTCGATAACTATAATTATTTATTTTAAATTTTTTTATCGCTTACATGAAAACCTTTCAACTGTCTGTGATGCGACAACAAATATGAATGGCAAAATACTTGTCCTGCATTAGGATTAGACTTGAAAAGTTCAAGCTATAGAAGTTTTGATCTTCCCATAAATCTATCTTTTAATGGTGTCAATAGTCTGTCAACCATGTTTACCTAACCCTAAAGGGGAGAGAATTCAAGCAATCGAGGCAGGGACAGAGAACATAATTCTTGTCTCAACTCTTATTCTTTATTTTAGTTTTTGTTTTTAATTTAAATTGTATTTAAGTAAATAAATAGAAAAACTGTGATCGATATTAAAAATGTTTTAATACCAACTTCGTCTCGTCCACACCGTATCTCTAGAAAAGTGCCTCCCACCCTCTTCCTTGACGAAGAAATATAATTTTTCTTGTCAATTGACTAATTATGAATATATGAAAAATTGAATTTTCCCTTCGTACCTCAAAATTCTACACTCGGAAATGACATATTTCTCCAAAACTTGTATTATTGTTCATTTTTAAGATTTTAGATAATTGAATTTGATATTCAAGATTAGTTGGAGAAAGTTGAATACACAGCTTCGCAATCGAAGGACTCTAAAGCACCTCAAAAATCAAATAAATGAACAAATCTATTGACTTGAACACAAATCTTGGCAAATTGGACTATGGACTTAACTTTAGGTTAATTTGTTCAATTCCACACTTAAATAGTAATTAAGTCCTTAGTCTTCTTCTTCCTTAACTTTAATTAGCATTCTTTATTTTTACCTTTAAGCCAAAGAAGGTAAAATTTCAAGGACAATGGGACCTAACCCCGTCGTGGCGGCACATTGAGCCGTCCAAGAAATAGCGCATAAAATCCCTTTTATTATAGTGAGTCGCTGATGAAGTGGGGCTAGGTCTTGATGCGCATTGCGGGTGATTTGCTTTTTAGGCATGTGGCTAGCGGCTCTGGAGACTATCAGCTTGAGCCGACAGTTTTCCAACTAGTCGTGCTTGTATTTTGTCAGGAAAAAAGCCAGACGTCCAGGGCCTTGGATATGGGCGTCCCTATTTTTAAGCCTGTCCAAGGCCCTGGACAAGGAGCAAGCTTGTTTTGTCAGAATTGATCTCCTAATCATTGTAGATAAGAGTTATATTGTTCATCGCCGACATGTCGTCATCGTTAACACGGCATTGTAACATCAGTCGTGGATATATTTTATCCTACTCACCGTGAATAAATGATCATTCTGCCGATTTGGCTTTATTAGGCAAAAAACAACTAAATAAAAAAGAATAAAGTGATTTGTTTTATTTTTTTATTTTTAATAAAGGAATCGTTTGACTGGTTTGACTGAAAGGACTATACATTATAATTAAATTGGGCACGTTCAACTTATATTCTTTTGGAATTTCCATTTAGTTTCGTCGATTTCCATTTTCATAAATTTAACTCTAATCTCTAATATTATAAAAAATAGGCATCAGAGAATCAAATACTTGAGACGATAGTGAAAAAAAATAATTATATGATTAATTAAATAAAAATAAATTTCTTTTCTTCTTGAAAACGAAATGACAAGTTTGAACCATCAACCATCTAATTATAAAGTTATTTCAAATATAAGTAGAGAATTCAATTTTCACTTTTTTTGTCGGCTAATTTATAATTCTCATGTTCAACAACGCCGCATGAAAGAACTACTTACTAGTGAATGCAATTTCTACTAAAATTAAATTATTTGTTCGATTGTTGATGAAGAACTAAAGCACGTGTTCATATATTTAGACGAGCTGAACGGTGAATATATTGAAATAATTAACTCTCTCATTTACTTGTATCTTCAGACAAGAGGGAAGTAATTTTAAATTACTATCCAAACCACAAAGTTTTAAGTTCAAAATTTAGTGCCTAATAAATGTGCAATTAGCATTTTTCGAGAGCAAGGAAATCCAATATTGTAGACGCTTTTGATTGTGAGAAAGCTATGAAATTATTGAACTTCATACACTATAATAAATTTACTCAATTCCATTTAGGTAACGATTCTAAATGGAACTATGAGTCTGAAAGGTATTATAGTCGATATATGATCACAGGAAATATGATTAGGTGACGTGAAGTGTACTTTCCATTTGATGAAGTTGTTTAGCCCTTGTTTGGACTCTATTTTAATAAGATTTCGAGAAAAATGTATTTTAAAGTAGTAATTCTTTTGAGAACGTGTGATTAAAAAGAAGAAAGAGTTTTAAATTTACGTATAATATTATTTAGCCCCCATTTGGTACAGATTAAAATCTGATTTTAATTTAAGTCAAAGTCAGACAATCAATATTAATTATATGTCTGACAACTTTTTAACCACACATTTTAAAAATTTCTATAACAATCTATTAAAAAATTTAATTTAATCCCTATCAAACTTCCACTACCAAACATCCCTATAATTGAAAGATGTGTGATTGAAAAAGAAAAATGTAAAAAATTTTATTAAAATTATAATGGAGCAGAGTTCTTTTTCTTTTCTTATGAGTTAGCCAACAACCAAGTCGCCAAAATCTCTCGATTCTCTCTAATGATAAACGAAAATCGAGAATCGAATCACAGGTGGAATACAGTGAGAAAGTTCACGCTCTTCACGCCCACAATTAATATGTAATCACCATAGCATCTCTTTGTTTATCTGTACACACTATGCACTCAAATATATATGTGTTTTCTATTTCTCTGCAATACTTGCTACAAAGTGAGAGACAGAAACTGGGCATCCTTAAACTTCGCTGCTTTTAAGGTCTTTCTCGCCGCCTTTGTGTTTCGGCAGCTGCAGCAAATTTTGATGGTAGAGATACTGTTCAACTGCATTTAAGCGAGATTACTTGTGGTTACGGAGATTTTGTAGGTGGCTGCATTAAAGGCCCCCTCCCCACTCTCCTTTTCTTTCACTGTTTCAGCCCTCGGTCAATTCTTGGAATGAAGAAACATTAAAACAATGCCTCTCGTTACTTTCTAGCTCTAGAGTGGCATATTCGTATTCACTAATCAAACTGGGAGTGTTTTTTTTTTTTTTTATTATAATTTGAGATCTGGATTTAAGAGAGACTTGTCAAAAGAAGGTATATTAGAAAGTGAAAATTGGGTTTTTTCCCCCCTTCTCTTTTCGTGCTTTTTTTCTTTTTTATAATTTTCTTCTTCTTTTGATTAGGATCTGGGAATTCTAGACTTCCGTTTTTCTGGGGAGGAGGATAGAAGGGGGCGGGCGCTAGCTTGGTTCATTCCTTTGTCTCATTAACAGGGTCTTTTTGTGTTACAGATTTGCTAGAATTTGACATCTTTTTTTTAGAGAAGTTCGAAAACAATGTTGTCTCAGAAGCAAGCAGAAGAAGCTATTGTCCCGAACTTTAATGAGACAGAAAATGACAGAAAAGATGAAGAGGCAGTTGAAGATCAGTCCATGTTCAGCGTCAAGAGCTTCCTTTGGCATGGTGGCTCCGCTTGGGATGCTTGGTTCAGTTGCGCTTCAAATCAAGTAAGCTAAAATAGCTAAAATCTCGTTTATTTTACCGTCCAGTACTAATCAGTACTGCACGTCAAATGCCGATGCAGGTTGCTCAAGTACTGTTGACGCTACCATACTCTTTCTCCCAACTGGGAATGCTATCTGGTATCTTGCTTCAAGTATTCTATGGCCTAATTGGAAGCTGGACAGCCTATCTCATTAGTGTTCTTTACATTGAGTATCGCAGCAGAAAGGAGAAAGAAGGTGTTAGCTTCAAGAACCATGTCATTCAGGTTTGAACCTTCTTTGCATCTAATTTTTGATACATAAAAAAAAGGAACCCATTTCAATTTAATTCTTGAATTGCAGTGGTTTGAAGTGCTGGATGGGTTACTGGGTCCTTACTGGAAAGCAGTGGGTTTAGCCTTCAACTGTACTTTTCTTCTTTTTGGATCTGTTATCCAACTTATAGCCTGTGCAAGGTACAATTTTTCTTCAGTTAATTAACTTTGTAAGCATTGGGGTTTCTTAAAGTTTGATTCTATTTTGGTGGGTTCATAATGTGAACAGTAACATATACTACATCAATGATCGATTGGATAAGAGGACATGGACTTACATATTTGGAGCTTGTTGTGCAACCACTGTTTTCATTCCCTCTTTTCACAACTACCGGATTTGGTCTTTTCTTGGACTTGGGATGACCACTTATACGGCCTGGTACTTGACCATAGCTGCCATCGTTAATGGCCAGGTAATACATTCTCCAACACTCTTTCTTCGAATTAAAAGGCATTAAATTTTTTGGCTGAGGAATTTTAGCGAACAGGTTGAAGACGTGCAACACTCAGCTCCAAACAAGATAGTTCTCTACTTCACTGGAGCCACCAATATACTATACACCTTTGGTGGACATGCTGTCACTGTGTAAGTTCTTTTTTTACTCTACCATCCGATCATTCTTCTTCTGTTCTTGTTTCTACACTGCTTCTCTTTTCAGCTTTTGCCGGTGCCTCGGGGATTGAGACTTTAAACTTAATCGAAGGGACCAAAATTTTCCATTTCTGCTAGGGGAAAAAATATTCATTTCCCCTCCATTCCCCCCAAGAATAAAACAACAGTAAAATGAGTCTCAATTTAATACAACTTTTTACCAATTTTCTGTGTAGATTTTTCGAACCTGCATTTAAATTATTCACGTTCCAAGGCTGATCAGTGGCTTCTGATGAAAAATTCAACAGGGAAATAATGCATGCAATGTGGAAACCCCAAAAGTTCAAGTATATTTACTTATTCGCCACATTATATGTTTTCACTCTAACTATACCATCGGCTTCAGCCGTTTATTGGGCATTCGGCGATCAGCTTCTCAACCACTCCAATGCCTTCTCCCTCCTCCCTAAGAACGGTTGGCGTGATGCAGCCGTTATCCTCATGCTCATTCACCAGGTCTATACAAAATAAGCACAATTCTTTGCATATATTTTTGCTTAACCGGACTAAACTGATCGATTTCTTCACCATACGCGCAGTTTATCACATTCGGATTTGCATGTACACCGCTGTACTTTGTATGGGAGAAAGTAATAGGCATCCATGAAACAAGAAGTCTCTGTCTAAGGGCACTTGCAAGGCTGCCAGTGGTGATACCAATATGGTTCTTAGCTATTATCTTCCCATTCTTCGGCCCCATTAACTCCGCAGTTGGGGCTCTTTTAGTTAGTTTCACCGTCTACATAATCCCGGCTCTCGCCCATATGCTCACCTACAGGAAAGCCATCGCCCGTCAGGTAACATTCTTTGATACTGACATTGGATTCCTTTATGGGAATAATACAGTTTACTATCAGTAAAAACAGTAAAAATGAAAAGCAAGGAGAGTTGGAAGGAGAGAGAAATACATAGAGTATAATATGCAACAACAGCATTAAAGTCACGGATTTGAAAATATTGCACCCACCCAACGTACGCAAACAAATTTTTTCTTGATCGAGTGATGTTATTTGCTCTTGATTACAGAATGCTGCTGAAAAGCCCCCATCCTTCATGCCAAGCTGGACGGCAATGTACGCGATCAACATCTTCATTGTGGCTTGGGTTTTTGTGATTGGGTTCGGGTTTGGAGGATGGGCGAGCGTGACCAATTTCGTGAAACAAGTTGACACGTTTGGGCTTTTTGCTAAATGTTATCAGTGCAAGCCTCCAACACCTCTGCATCCGAACTCAACTACGACTTCGCATAATTGAAGAATACATACTAGTAAACGTGGAAAATTCACTCCCTTTCGCCCCCTCAACCCGTATTTTGTATTATAATTGTGTGCTTTTTTCCCTGGATTTTCATTATTTATTAAATATTAGATGAAATAGTGTGATAATTAATTGTAATTCAAATATAAGTTCTTGTTTTTTTCTCTTTCCATTTTAAAGCTTGCAACGTTATTAATCATTATTACTAGGCATGTTTCCAGGGTACTATCTTATTATTCAAATGCAATAGTACGGGGTGTGAAAGTTATTAAATGTAATTTGGGCCTTTTGACCTAGATTCTCTTTGAACGAATGGGCCGTGGGCCCAACCCAACCACATGGTTGCACGTTTTCTCCTTTAGTTGTCACGTGCCACCCTTATATCTTGAATATTTTCAACTCCGAATCACATGCGTGTGGAACTACGAACGTGCATGATCCTTTCATGTACTTGAATTTAAGACCTTGCCATCCTCGTAATTGTTTGTTTCACAACATTTCACTTGCTAATTTCTTATTGTATAATTAAGAAAGTAAATTATTGTTACAATGATATAGCCAAAGTAAATGATCTGGGTCGAAGTAACTTTTTAGAATTATTAACTAGTTAGACGAGTATACAAACACTAGTGACCTAAAGCCATTATTAAAATTTATATTTATTGTAGGGTTATTTTGCATATTTTTAAAAACCATCAAACTGGTTTGAAACCAAAGAGATGTATCACTGACCTCCTCGTTATATTTGACATTCAATGTCTCTAAATCTGCGATATTTCCTTGAACACATCAAATTGGTCTTCCAGTGATCCTCCTTCTACCAAGGGATAGGAATACAGCTTCTGCTTAAGATCAGTGGTGGGTGTGGGTTGGGTTGGGTCGATTTTCGAAATCGGCCCAACCCAAACCCAACCCACCGTGGTCGGTTTGATCTAAAATCAAACCAACCCAACCCATGTAAATGTTTCAACCCAATCAAGTTTCGGTCGAATTGGGTTGGGTTGGTCGATTTGGGAAAAAACTTGATTCACTTAAATTAAAGAACTGCCATCCATTGCAAATTATGTATGCATTGCCATCGATTGAATCAGAAGAGATGCCAAAAGTGGAACATATGAATGAAACACATATGATCAAATCCAATCATAAAGAATACTTCATCCTACATATTGATGAAACACATTTTATCTCACAGCAAGTGGAACATTTCATCAGATATACAATAATCTACAACACAGGAATGGGAATTACTTACATTTTTTGTCTTGCAAAAAATTGATTCTCTCTAGACAATCAGATTCAACACAACATTCATGCAATCAAGTGAACCTTTGACCTAAACAAAACAAATAATACTACAATAAATAAAATAAATAAAAAACATAGAATTGAAACAACGTTCAAACTGCTTGAATTATAAGATTTTCATCCCTTCTACATTTCCTTAATTTTTAAACAAATTGAACTCTGTTTTAGTACAGCAAGACACCATTACATGATTGTAATTTCCTGCCACTTAAAAGGAGAAAACTCTTGAAGTAACAACACAACAGAAAATTCAACCGAACCTTGAAGAAACTATTGAAGTCTAGAGTCAATTTTAGATTAAAAAAATGCATAAACGAGGCTAAAGACGAGGATGGCCTTGCAGTAAGCAACCCAAGATAGATTCTCAAATGGGGTGCACCATGTAGGAGAAAAGAAAGCCGAAACATCTTTGCGAGCGAGACACCTTCGTTTTTCCACATAGTCTTCGAAGTGTTGCTTGATTTTCATGAGTTGTTTCATTTTTGCATCATTTTGTAGCATATGAATCTAGCATTTGAGAGAAGATTAAGAGAAAATTGAGGGACGGAGAGATTAGGGCTTCATATTTTGGCTGGGAGTGAAGAAGAGAAACTGAAGAGTGTAAAATTTTAGGGCTTTTTTCATTTATGTCATTTTCCTTTTCTTTTTTTTTCTATTTTTAATGTAATCGAGTTGGGTTGGGTCTGATCGGGTTTCATTGGTTAACCCACAACCCGACCTGACTCGACTACACAACCCACAACTTAAAACCCACCTAAAAATAGCAAAAAATCGACCCAAACCGGTCGGGTTGGGTCGGGTTACTTAAGATGCAATTTGTTCTGAAGATTTTTCATCATGCACAATTGTTCCAGTTTTAACCACAAAGCCGTCGTTGTATTCTCCTTTAAGATGTCTTGCAGAATATTATTGGAGAGTTGAAGATGAATCTGCGATAGAGCATTCCTATTCTTCTGTTGTCCAATCAGTTAGCATCTTATCAAAACCCAGCAATGTATCGTCTAAATTCATCTGCATCAAAATAGCCCTCATCTTTACTTGCCATTTCAAAAATCTCTTATTGCAATCCAGCAGCGGAATATCATATTTCAATATAACCACTTTTGAAAAAATTTCAATCAAATCACGAAGAATTTGCAGCCTAGCTCTGATACCACTTGTTGAAGGCGGAACAGCTCTGAAACCACTTTGTTGGATCAGAAGGCAACGCAAAAATTGAGATTTAATGATGTAATATGAAATATTTGATAACAAACAGAACAAGATTAAAATAAAGAGATAGAGAGAGTTAAGCAAAGGAACCGATGTTTCATTCAATAACAATATGGAGAGACTACAATTACATTAGCAAAACTTCACAAATCTAGAAAAAAGAATCTAGTATTTATAGGGAAAATTTCATCTCTAGAAGTAGAGTTGTAGATGAAATAAAATATCAAAAGTTTTTTTATTTAATCTCATCAAGTCCAACACAAGTTCCAACTCCCAATAGGCTTCCAAATAGAACTTTAACTAGAATTTGTTAAATAAACTTGAATATGATTCCTTAATAGCATTCAAATTAGAATTTCTTTTAATGTGCACTTCAATTAGAACTCCTCTTGATATACACGTCAATTACAAGTCTACAATTATTTTAACAAGGAATTCTGATTACACCCAAATTCTAACACAGTTTGTCCATCACTAGCCTCACGTGGGGTTTAGGACACTAGAAAGAAACGAATTGTAGTAGCACATGAAGTTGCAAAACTCAGCAGTTATTTCAACCTGGGAGAAAGCTTGACTTCTTTGCATAAAGAACCTAACTCACCTTAAGTTATTGCTTGTGCTAGAATAGGTTGGTCTAAATTTATCAAACATAGGATTCTGGCAAGCAATAGAAACTCAAGTATGTGTTAGGGAGCAGAGTAAAGGTGCCCTCGATGATGTCGCTGGGACACCTACCGATAGGATCTGCTTCAGCAAGTCTTCTCCCAGTGGTTGCAAAACTCGGCCATATTAACATTGGTTTATATGATTTGCAAAGTACTTTTCAGGCGGTGAGGTTTACAGGCTTGATGATGTTTCCAGTTTTGGAATGCTTCTACTGGAGTTATTTACAGGCAAAAGAAAAGAAAGAACGTTGAATCAAAGAATTAATTTTGCTGACGAAAATAGGACTTTCTTGTACACTGTCATTGCCGAGGAATTGGATGACAATAAACACAAATTGCATGCAATCAGATACTTATTTTATAGAATTATGAATAGAACACCAAGTATAAGATGAGTTTATTACACATGAATGGGGAAAACGTTATGCTCTACGAAGTGGAATTTAGCCTCTGCAGAATGTTGTTGTTGTAGACTACGCTAGCGAATTGGTGATTCAGGATTGAAGAGTCACATTTATATACTTCAACTGAAGCCATGAAGGGAAGGTTTTTACCATTGTAATACCTACTCTGAAAAGTAGAATTCAAAATATTATTTACATTAGAATTGCTCTTATTTATCTTTAATATATAATTGAATTGTTTTTCTTATTGATTTCAAAAACAAGATTGAGTTGTTTATAGATCAAACAATACAATCAACTGACAGAATATCTGATGTCCAAAATTCAACAGCATTTACTACTGTGAACACACTGTATTTCATCTAGGTGCTTTCAAAAATTCCTAATCCTTTTTCCTTTTTTAGTTTTGCACTTATTTGTCTTTGAAATGGTGGTACATTTACACATCTATTTTAATCTTTTGAATTTGCAAAAATGAGATATTGTTGAATGTTTGCAATAATTGATAAATAAATTAGTGGATTAACAAATTAACAGATTACAGTGGGGAGTGTACCCTTTGAGCCCGGACTTGTGACTTATTTTCTTGCATTTAAATCCTCAAAGTTTGTTGAGATTCCAAAGTTAGATTCAACTCCTAGTAATAAGCAAGAAGCCACTAGTTCACGATCCTTTCCTCCTTCCCCCTAGCCGCGACACCCCACCCCACCAATTTTTCTTCCATATACAGCATACACAATCCCATTGTTCACACGTCTCTAGCCACTGATTATTTCAGTGCTGGCTTTGAGAATTTGGAGGCCCTAAGTGAAAAATTATTTGGAGGCCCCTTTTTTTTTTTTTTTTTTACACATGTAACAGTATTTAAATAAAAATATATATCTATATTCAAAAGAAAACTTCATACAATCTAAAAGAAAGAAGTGCAAAATAAAATATCACTTACAACCATTAAAATGTGAAAATTAAAGCAACTTCACATGTACAAATCTTACGTCTATCCTTTTGATTGCTTAATCTTGAATGGACCTTGGAAGAAATGCCAAAGAATGATTGAAAGCTAGTTTCTTTATCGTATAGAAATATTATTAATCTTAGCCAAACATGCTGTGAAAATTAGGCAACCTTTTCCTCTCTTTCAACAGAACAAACCGATCGAGAACACTCTACTTTCGACAGCACATCAAGTTTTTCTCTATTCCGAAACCCCTTTTTAATCAATTTACAAAGTATTAATGAATAATCTCAAAGTAATTACTGTATTATTAATTTTTCAGAGATGACAAGTATTCTAGTGAGTTACCCACTGAATTGGTTTTTGGGAGTTGGAGAGAATCATGTTCTTCACAAGGGAAGAAATTACAGATTTCATTTTTTTGGGTATTCAAATATGGATTATCCTTGTAAAGAGGAAATGTTTTTTTCCCAACTTTCATGCCCTGTAACTACTTAATACCTAAACACATGAGCACTTGAGCAGGGCTGGCCGCTGGAGATATCGAGATGAGTAGGAGGTACAAGACGTCGATTGGAGGAAAATAGAAAACTTATGGGCAGACCACTGAGTCATTGATACAAAACTTTAGGAAAACAGAAGTTTTTGGAGA